GTGTGCTTAACCACTGAGCCATATCTCCAGCCTTTTTTATTTTTTATTTTGAGAAAGTGTCTCTCTAAGTTGCTTAGGGCCTCGCTAAATTTTTGAGGCTGGCTTGTAACTTTGAATCCTCCTGTCTTAGACTCCCAAGTGACTGACCATACCCAGCAATTAATTACTTTTTGTTGGAGATTGAAGCTGAAAACCTAGGTTCCTGACCCCCAGCTGTAAATTTCAGTTGATTTTTTTTTTTTTTTCTGAAATGACCAGTTGGCTCTGTTGTTAGTATAAGAAAAGGATATGGAAGGCCTTAGACCATCTAATCTACAGTCTTTTCCCCCCACCATGCTTTTTCTTTTATCCTCATTCATGTTATGAGAGGGCCATATTTAGTGAATTAGTCCTGCATTCCCTCCTATACTCTTTGAAATTATCTTGTTTGTGTCTTTGTTATGTTTCTTCTCTGTCTCACATGGGTGCTAAAATTCTAGAAGAAAGAACTGAAGCCAGGCGTGGTGGCACAAATCCCAGCAGCTCAGGAGGCTGAGACAGGAGGATTGCAAATTCAGAGTTAGCAACGGCAAGGTGCTAAGCAATTTAGTGAGACCCTTTCTCTAAATAAAAATTAGTGAATAGGGCTGTGGATGTGGCTTAGTGATTGAGTGCTCCTGAGTTCAATCCTAGTACCAAAAAAATAAAGAACTGTAAGCCAAGGGTATTGAAAAGGGCTCTGCAGCTCCCCTTTAGTTCTCCAGTTTCATCAAAGGTACTCGGATTATCACTGCAGGTGTTGAGTGGAGAGCAACAATTGAACTTGAGCAAAGCCAAACAAGTGGAACAGATATTTTACTAATAGAATATTATCAAGAAAGCTGAGATGAAAGGTGGAGAGGTAGTGGGGGAAGTGTTGGGGAGTAATATTGGTCAAAAATGTGGAAGAAAAAAACAAAAAGAAAGCTTTCCTAGAAAACTATTTTTTTTTTGACCACCGTTATACTGAGTTGATTGTAATAATATCTTGGGGATATATCACACTTTATACAACCCTTTCATATCCATTATCTTATTTAATTCTCACATTAGCACTTTGAAATAGATAATGGTCAATCAGGAAAGCCAAAGTTTAGGGATTAAGTGATTTGCTGAAATTCACCAGCCAGTTTGTGGCAGGAGTAGAACTTAAACATAGCTCTTCTGACTGTTGCTTTCCCCACTACTACTTAGTGAACTGCAGTTATATCTTTGTTATCATTCTCAGTCTGGATCTCTGTTGGTTTTTCTAACACATTTGGTCCTCCTTCATCAATTCTTTTTACTGAATTCCTTGTCATTTTGCTTCTGTTCCAGAGAGAAGTGGAGATCCTGATGTTTCTCAGTGCTATTGTGATGATGAAGAACCGCAGATCTAGTAAGTTCAGCCTGCTTCTAAGTCTCAGGATCAGGCCTGATATCCCTGGAGTTGCTTTTTTCATGTTATGAGAGGGGCACTATTTAGGGCATTTGATCTTCTTCCCTCTTCCATTTCAAAAGTACCCCAAGAAGATGGAAAAAGAATGGGATATAGGAGTATACAGCCCAGCCTGACTTGTGACATCTCTTGTTTCAGTCACCGTGGAGCAACATGTAGGCAACATCTTCATGTTTAGTAAAGTGGCCAACACAATTCTTTTTTTTCGCCTGGATATTCGCATGGGCCTGCTTTATATCACACTCTGCATAGGTGAGGCAATTACCTTTTTAAAATTCTTCATAAAACTATGTTAATAAAGACTTGATTTAGGGGCTAGGGTTGTAGCTCAGTGGCAGAGCTCTTGCGTAGCATGTGTGAGGCACTGGGTTCAATCCTCAGCACCACATATAAGTAAATAAAAAATAAAGTTAAATCAACAACTAAAAAGTATTTAATAACAACAAAAAAGACTTGATTTAGCTGGGTGTGGTGGTGCACACCTGTAATCCCAGTGGCTCAGTAGGCTGAGGCAGGAGGATCACAGGTTTGAAGCCAGTCTCAGCAATTTAACGAGACTGTGAGCAACCTAGTGAGACCCTGTCTCAAAAATTTTTTTAAAAAAGGGTTAGGGATGTTGCTCAGTGGTTAAGTGTCCCTATGTTTAATCCCTGCCACCAAAAACATAAAGACTTGATTTGAGGAACCAAATTTCATTCCCAAACAGGTAGTTATGTGTGTAGCTTAGATGGTAAGAAAATAATACTGGGCACAGTGGCACACACTGTAATCCCAGCAGCATGAGAATCTGAGGCAGGGGATTTGCTTGTTGAAAGCCAGCCTTAGCAACTTAACGAGGTGCTAAGCAACTCAGTGAGACCCTGTCTCTAAATAAAATACGAAAAAGGACTGGGGATGTGGCTTAGTAGTTAAGTGGCCCTGGGTTCAATCCCCAGTACCAAAAAAAGGAAAAAAAACAAAAACTGCAGAGACTGTACTTTAGAGGAAGGAAATGTATTTTTGGTCTACATATATCTACAAGTATGTATTCTTTGGTGGCTGAAATCCTTGAGTTGGTTGGAGATAAGTCCTGTGTGCAAAGCCTTGTATGTTTTTTGCCTGATATCTTTTTTCCTGTGTTCAGTGTTCCTGATGACCTGCAAACCTCCTCTGTATATGGGCCCTGAGTATATCAAGTACTTCAGTGATAAAACTATTGATGTGAGTATTCTTCCTCCTCTGATTCTTGGGTACTTGGTAGATTATTTTGTAATTATATTCTCAGTTCACTAGGAGGAATAACAGTGCTTCAAAATGAAAGTCAGGAGCATTTGTGATTCATTATGAGAGCCAGGAAGAGGGAAGTCAGGATGAGGAATTAGGCACTAAGGTCTGACTCCTCCCAGATTCTTACATGATCCAGTTCACTATTTCTTCCCTTTGTGTGGCAGGAGGAACTGGAGCAGGACAAGAGGGTCACTTGGATTGTGGAGTTCTTTGCCAATTGGTCTAATGACTGCCAATCGTTTGCTCCTATCTATGCTGACCTCTCCCTCAAGTAAGTTAGTGCAAAGGGAGGGATAATGGAAATTGAGATGCAGTACCTTCCTTCTTATTTTTGGCCTTGACTTTTACGCTTTCCAGCCAAAGTCATTACCCCCTTCTCTCCTCAAATATCTTTATTTTCACTTTTTAAAATGTTTTCAATATATTAAATAATATGTTCTTCTCAGGTACAACTGTACAGGGCTAAATTTTGGGAAGGTGGATGTTGGACGCTACACTGATGTTAGTACCAGGTATGTAAAGATTAGAGCTAAGGATCTTAGCAAGGAATTACTTTGAGCACTATATAGAGATACATTCACAGAGTCTTTTCTGGGCCCTGTAGGTACAAAGTGAGTACATCACCCCTCACCAAGCAGCTCCCTACCCTGATCCTGTTCCAAGGTGGCAAGGAGGTAATGCGGCGGCCACAGATTGACAAGAAAGGACGAGCTGTCTCTTGGACCTTCTCTGAGGTATTTGAAGGAATAGGCAAGTAGTTTGCAAACGGGTACAGATCAGTGGATGAGTTCTGAAACCCAACCTGGATTTGATTTCCAGTGTCTACCACTTGTCCACTAGTTTTTGAGGATATAGACTAGATACTAGGCCTCATTTTAGTTCACTCACCAAATTTACATTGTATGCCAGACTGCTAGTACAGGGAACAATGATGAGTGAAGACTTAGTCTCTAAGGCGCCTATAGTATATAGGCATTTAGGCTTCTCATCACAAATTGGATATCCATCTGGCTCACAAGATTATTTTACAGACTACATGTAGATAGTATCATTCATTCTTGGCACAGTGATTGACACATAATGAATACTTAAGTATTAATTGACTTTTCTGGGTACTTAAAAAAAAAAAGAGGAAAGTTAAATTAGGGTAGATTTGTATCCTTTCCTTTCTCCCTTCTTTCCTACTCTGTGTCTAAATACTCCTTACTTTTAGGTTCTGAACTTTACCTTCCAAACCAAATCCTGATGTGTGCATCTCTTTTGTGCAGGAGAATGTAATTCGTGAATTTAACTTGAATGAACTGTATCAACGGGCTAAGAAGATATCAAAGACTGGAGACAGTATCCCGGAGGAGCAGAGTGTGGCCCCAGTCCCCACCACAGTGCCAGATGGGGAAAGCAAGAAGGATAAATAAGATTCCTGCCTAGTTTTTGCTCCCTCTTCTGTCAATTCCAGGCACCTTTGAGGCCCTACTCCAGTGTAACCATAAGCTCTGCCTGAGGCTGCTGCCTCTTGTTTTCCCTGTTTGGCTGTTGCAGGGTAGGCAGGATGCTGCTTCTGATTTTAAAGAAGCAGGCATAGAATTGTCAGGTACCCTAGAGGAAGGCCTGCCTTGCTGTGGCCAACTGTTTACTTAAGGGAGAGATCTCATATGATGGGGGAGGAAATGGTTTCCCTCCAAGGTTGGGTCAGTGTGTAAACTGCTGTTCTTCCTTAGACATCAGCAGTCTGTGGTTTCCTTATTCCTCTTAGTGGCTCTGCACAGCCTAGACTAGATCAAACCTGTTACTTGCCTGGGTATAGAACACTAAGAATTTTTCCTCAAGGACCCTTGCTTTCCTTAGGCCCTTCTGGCTTGGTCTATGGCATTCATTAAAAAATACAAGCCTAAATTTGTTACTGGTCCCAAGGAGAAACCTTTTACCACAGAGTTTTCATCATTGAAAATAGTATTGAATGATCCTCCTATTTTGTAGGGATCCAGAGGAAAAGGAATAAAAGCTTGAGACTTTCCTTTGTGTGTTGGGACCTGGAGGAGAAAGCCTGGACTGTCCTTTTCTCCTACCTAGTCCCCACACCTAACCAACAGTTTCCATAATAAAAGAGACTGGGATTTCTTTTGATTAATCTTTTGTGTATTTCTCTTGTGTTAGAAAAGCTAGGCAGGGCTAGGAAAGTGGATCAGTGGGAGTTTACCTAGCATGCTTGAGGCCCTGAGTGGGATCCCCAGCACCACCAAAAACCAGACAGTCTTCAAAGAAAAGCTAAGTAACTGCAAAGGAATAGCCCATCTTTTAATTTTTTTTTTTTTTTTTTTTTTTAATTATCAGTACTGGGGATTGAACCCCTGGGTCCATTACCATTCAGCTATATCCCCAGTCCTGTATTTTTATTTTGAGACAGGGTCTGAGTTGCCCAGATTGGCCTTGAATTTTCGATCCTGATCCTCCTCCTTCCACTTCCCAAGTAATGGATTACAGGTGAATGCCACCATGCTGGACAAGACCACGTAATATGAAAGGGCATATTTTGTTTCACCAAATGCTGGACATCAATTCCCAGGATTGATGATGATTGGGGAAGACCGATTTCTGTAATCCAAAGTGCTAACCAGAGGGGATGCTTTGTGAACTTAATTTTGGATTGGTCCGTGCTTCCCAGGGAGGAATTTGGGGAGCATCATAAAGCATAGCATTTAGTGCAGCGCATAGGTACCTAACCTCTGTGTGGGATATGAAGCTTGCTTCCAGACTTGAGTCCCCACCTCCTGGCATGCCGACCTCACCTCGTCCTTTCCACCCATAGTCTTAATGGTAGGGCCTGGTTCTCGCAGTACCTCCCCCTTCTGGTAGGCGGAGTGGCTGGGCTCGAAGGTCCCGCCTCCCCGCCACATGCGCGCTGCGGGCCCCGTTTTCCACTCTCGCGGGGAGTTTTTGTTTCGTGAGCGGAAGTTCTGGGTTAAACCTGGTGATTCGAAGTCTGACTGCCCTCCTGCCTGGTGCTATCTCAGTCGTAGCATCTTCACTGTATTCTCCCGCCCCAGCATCCCCAGTCGGCTCGGCGCGCGGCCGGATTCCAGGCGTCATGGCTCCTCGCGGGAGGAAGCGGAAGGCCGAGGCCGCTGCGGTCTCCACGTCGGAGAAGCGGGAGAAACTGGAGAACGGCAAGGAACAAGTAGAGGAGGCGGTCGTCATTGAGCATTGGTGAGCGCCCTGGGAGGCGCGGGCGGCGGCGGGAAGAATGGCTGGCGTTGCAGCGGGGCCGCAGTCTGATCTCCCCGTCTCTCCCTAGCACTAGCTGACGCGTCTACGGGCGCAACGCCGCGGCCCTGAGCCAGGCGCTGCGCCTGGAGGCTCCGGAGCTTCCCGTGAAAGTAAATCCTTCCAAGCCCCGGAGGGGCAGCTTCGAGGTGACCCTGCTGCGCCAGGACGGCAGCAGTGAGTGCGGGCCGGAGCCTGGGGGGAGAGGGGCCTGGGTCTAAAGCTAAGAAGCACTAGTTTTGGAAACCGCGGCCAGCTGTTGACTTTAGAGATGCTCTTGGATTCCAAAGTAATTTCGATTTATTCCCAGGTGCCGAGCTCTGGACCGGGATTAAGAAGGGACCCCCACGCAAACTCAAATTCCCCGAACCTCAAGAAGTGGTGGAAGAGTTGAAGAAGTACCTTTCGTAGGCGATTTGGGCAGAAGTCCTCATGCTGAGGTTTGAAATGGAGAGGGAATTAATCTTGGGTAGCTTCTTGCAAAGGAGCCCATACTTTTATAATTTATTCCACACAGGATCTAAAAGAGTGGTTTCCTACAGGGTGTGCCTTTTGCAAACCGTTTTCATTTTCATTTGAGTCCCTTTATGCCATATTATAGAACACTAATGGTAACATTAATGATTCTTTATAGAAGCGTAATTTGTATACTTCCGGTTGATTGTGGCCCTGGGGGTATGATCCAGTGTTGCTTTTGTTTGAAAATTTATTTCCTCATTCCTGGTGGCTATTTTAATTCTTTGAACCAGTTTTAAATCTTACTGCTTCCCAGAGTTAAAATTTTTAACACATGTTTTTATGTGGGTTAATGATTTTCCATCTTTACTGGCACATTACTGTACCTGCCCCTACACTTTTCTAGGGTTATTTTGCCCCCCCCCCCCATGTCTTATGTATTAAACACTGCATTACAACACTGTGCGTCTCGGTTAGGTGGATTTTTGTCTGTCCATAATGTTTCATTCAATGCTTTGGCATCTTGTCAGGCACTTGTATGTTGAATGAGTTTTGGGGGAAGGATACAATCCTTGAGCTCCTGGGTGGTGGTGGTGTGGGAAGGGATGGCATGCCTGTAATTCCAGGGACTTTAGCAGGCCGAAGCAGGAGGATTACAAGTTTAAGACCAGTCTCAGCAAGTCCTTATCTCAAAAAATAAAGGGCTGGGGATGTTGTCAGTGGTAAAGCCTCCCAGGGTTTAATCCCCAGTACCAAAATTTAATAAAGTGATGGAGGGAGATGTCTTCCTTAGTCTTTGGTTGCCTGGATCTCTTCTCTAACATTTCCCTTCTCGTTATTGCAGCTGTCTCTGGTGGTGTTGGAGCATTTATGATGGGACATGGCTAAACTTCAGTCATGTACCTGAAGCCATTTCTTCCACTCCAGAAATGATACAGATGAGGCAACCCTCTAGTAAGGCATTGTAAAAATATTTGAATTTGGTTTGTTTAATAAAAGGTTAAATAAAGTATCTAAGAGTAAAATTTAATGTTGATGGACAAAGCCAGCTGTGGGATTGGTGGTCCTTATTTTTCATTGACCAAGGTCACCAATTGGCCTGGAACTTGAAAGAGTCTCTGGTATAATGTGAAACACTTATAAAAACTATGGGAGCAAAGTAAATAATTTATTTTTTTAAAAAGCAACTATCTTTTTCAATTCACTTCTTAGAAGTGATGGAAGTACATCTTTCTGGCCCTGTGGAGGTTTTACCTAGACTTCACATACTGGCGATGAACAAGCCCCACAAATATAAGATGCTGGAAGTGTCCTATCAATCATTCCCACCCACTTAATGTTTTGCCTAACATAGTTTCACATCTTTTGGGATATTTTTCTCTTTTTACTCTGTGGTATTGGGGATCAAACTCAGGGCCTCTTACATGCTGGGCACGTTGTGCTCTGCTACTGAGTAATAACTCCAACCCTTTTTAAATTTTGAGAGGCTCAAAGTAAAACAAAACCCCACCTCAGAACTTTCCCTGAATTTGCAGACTCAATGCCTTGTGAACTGAGAGACCTGGTTCTTGGCTGTTACCTATGACCCACTAGAGTTGGGGACCACACAGTTTATTGTTTCACTTGTCACTAACTGGAAAGTAGATTACAAAGAAATAAGATAGTTCAAGTTCATAATTTTCTACCTATGATACTACTAAACTTCTGCCTGGTCCCCAAGGCCTGGGGAGGGGAGGAGGGAACCTACAAAGAGTCAGGGTAGACCTACCTCTTACACTAAGAGGAGAAGGCATGTGCTAGTTTCTGCCAATAAATAAGCCTTTTACTAGCCAACACTTTCCACCCTCCCAGGGCCCCTAACCTCCCCTCCCCTCTCTACTACGTTAGTATATCTACCTCTGTTTCTGACTCTGAGGAAGGATCAGGCCACACAGAGGGAACACTAGCGGGCCCCAGCCTCCCCTCTGCTGTCCAGTCCACCACATCAATTTCCTCATCTTCAGAGCTGTCAGGAAGTGGGCCCAGCAACGCAGAGTTATCAAATGCCTCCTTGCTGGCCTCTGGAGCAGGGTATAATTCCTCATCCATGGTTAGGGACACGTCTAGCTCAGTCTCTGCCCAGTTTGAGCATGGAGGAGAGAGGTCCCTGTAAGATCTTTGGGAAGGGTCAGGGGAGTCAATATGGAGAAGTTTGTCTCCCTGACCATCCAGTGGCTGGGAGTTGGTAATTTCAAGATGTGGAGTCCAAGAGTCTCCCACTGAAAGCACTCCTTCACTCACCTCAGAGGGCATAACAAGGGGGCTAAAGGGCTCAATTGGCTCTTTGTTCTCAGAAGGCATGACAAGGGGACTAAAGGGCTCAATTGGCTCTTTGTTCTCACTAACAGGTTCCTTTTCCAATCCTGTGAGCTCTCTGGGCCAGAGTTCCATGTCTGGTAAACACCATTCTTCCCCTTCAATCCAGTTCTTTCCTGTTTCTGTCAGGTGATAACTAGGGGTTCTGCAGCCCTCAACCTCAGGACTCTCCAAAGACCCAACAGGTGGCTCAATGTCTGAGCCACAGAGCATAAAGTCAAGGATCTCTTCCAGCTCACTGGTGGCTGCAGCACTTGTGATTCGGTATTCCTCAGCTTCACAGGGCTGCCTGAGCAGAGCTGTATCAAATGCATATGGCTCTCTGCAGTCAATATTCATCATGGGTTCCTTCCCTACCAGCTCTGGACTAGACCCAAACTCTGACTTCACCACAGAGTGGCCTGGGGAGTGGCTAACAGAGAGCAGAAAGTCTTGTAGCCTAGAGACTGGAGAGTCCTGACAGAGTTCTATTTTAGTAGATGGCATTTCCTGCTCATTAATTGAGGATAGCTGAGCCCCTGGAGGTTCTAAGTCTCTCCTGGGATCTGGGATCTGGGGGCTATCTTGAGAATTTTTGAGGGGAGGATCCTGTACCACCTCCCAGCAGGTCCCATTTACAATCTTCCGAAGTTTTACTCTCCCAATCTGCCCTTCCTCTGCAGAGTCTGAGTTGGGTGCTCTGACTTCAGGGCTCTGCTTCTTACTCCCACCTGCCTTCCCAAGACCAGATGGGCTTGGGGTGTTCTGTAGAGGACTAGCTCTTCCTGGCTTCTGTTTGTCCTCTGGTGCTTCTTTATTTATACTTCTCTGCCGCCAAAGACGCCGGCCAGGGGCTGTGGGCACTGTGCTGGACCCACTTAAAATGCTAGGCTTTGATGTACAGACATCAGGAGATGGCTTTGAGCGACTTAGCCTGATCTTTCTGGGCAACAATCGCTCATCCACATCGGGGTACAAGCTGGGTGGGGAAACTGCTGTAGGACCAAGGACAGAGTCATCCTTGTTTTCCTTAAGTCCCTGACTGTGGCTTGAAGGAGGAGAGCTTTTCTCTTGGGGAGTCAGGCAGGCTCTAGCCTTCCTCTTGAGCAGAAGAGTGCCTGACAAGTTCTCAGCATTTGGTCGGTTGCCCTTTTCCTGGGGACCTTCCTCTTTCCCCAAAGACTTCAACCTAACTGCCCCAAGAGGACAAGGAGTCTGAGTAACAGGCAGTGGAGTTCGAGGGCGGCGTATGGGTGCCACCACTCTGGCAGAGATTGGTGCAGCACTTGGTGGTTGTAAGCACTCTCGATTCAGTCTTCGGCCTTGAGGGGCCTTCACTAACTTTCCACCCTCTAACTGAAGAGATTCTAGCTCAGACACACGGAGCTGCCGCGCAGCAGAAAGCACGTCCTGGGCTTCTTCTCGAGATACTTCCATCTCTGAGGTATACAGGAAGTCCACCAACTTTCTAAGTGTCCTGATTTTCAGGCCCCCCAGTTCCAGCACCACCTTCCGACCCTGAGCTGGCCTTTCCCGTTCCAGGCGTTCTGTGAAGAAGGGGCTGCAGGCTGACAGAATGCAGCAGTGGGCTGGAACTGCCTCACCTGGAGAGAAACACACAGACTGTCATGTAGACTTGCATGTTAATGGACTAAGCATAGACTAACGACCCAAATGTATTGCCCCTTCTCATAGTTTTTTCCCCATGGAAATTCAAATAAAAGGAGAAATTTGTTCCTTCCGCTTGCCTGGAATCTTCTGCCATACCTCTCTATCAGCTAGCTTATTTTTTAATAATCCAAAATCTAGCCCACAAAAATTCATTCAAAAAGTCTTCCTCTAGGGGCTGGAGTTGTGGCTCAGTGGTAGAGCGCTTGCCTCACATGTGTGAGGCACTGGGTTCAATTCTCAGCATCGCACATAAATAAATGAATAAAATAAAGGCCTATCAACACAAAAAATATTAAAGAAACAAAAAAAGTCTTTCTTCAGCTGGGTGTAGTGATGCATACCTGTAATCCCAGCAATTTGGGAATTTGAGGCAGGAGGACTGTTAAATTTAAGGCCTGCCTAGACAACTTAATGAGACTCTGACTCAAAAAAATAAAATAGGCTGGGGATGTAGCTCAGTGGAAGAACACTCTTCACTCTTGGGTTCAATCCCTAATACTGCCACCCACCCCAAGAAAGCAAGCCTTTCAATCCACAAGTATGGGTTTGGTGCTCCTAGGCACAGAAAGGTACTCCACAACTATCACTGCACTTACCTACCTGAATGGGAATTAGCCATCTCCATTACACTGTAAACTCTGTGAGGACAGGGGCCATATCACTGATGTATAACCATTACTTGCCACAAAACAGGGCTTACATTTCACTGCTTGCCACAAAGTAGATCAAATACTTGTTGAATAAATAGTGTTAACACATGAGAGCTCACAGAATTTTGTAGGAACAGCATGTGGTCTAACAGTAGGTTTAGAGGCAAACAATCAGGCTTCAATTTTCCTGAGATCTTGCTGCTGCCTACTAGGGAGTGGTCTCTTCTGAGCTACCTTCTCATTTTATGGGCAATTTCCAGGCATATCAATCAGGCTATCCCATGTCTTCAGTTACCAAAGCCTTGCTGATGACCCCCAAAGCCCTATGACTACCTAGATACCTTTCCTGTGATACCAAACATCACAGCTGGCATGTCTACATGGATGCCTCACAAGTAACTCCAATGCAACCTTCCAAGGAAAGGAAATTTCGCCACCCCAAACCTCCCAATTTCGACACCAAAATAAAGTATCCCATTCATCCTCTTGCCTCAGTCATTTGAATCTAATCTTTCTAAATATATCTAATCAAATGTCAATTTTAAATAACTTTCTGGAGTCATTATGTGCCACCAGGCATTCTTCTAAGGTTTTACCAGTATTAATCCATTTATTCACCACACCCTGTGATGTAGCTACTGGTATTGTAGATGAGTAAACTGAGGCATACTTTGGTAAGATCCCCACAATTACAGTAAGTAGAAGGGACAAGATTAAAATCCAGAATGTGGCTACAGACTATGCTCTTCCTCACTTGAATAGCACATACATTTTTTTGGCATACTGGAGTTTGAAACCAGGGATGCTCTACTACATTTCCAACTTTTTATACTTTTTATTTTGAGGCAGGGACTTGCTCAGATGCCTAGATAGACCTACTCAGCTTCCTAAGTAGCTAGAATTACAGAGCCCAACTACAATCCTTTATTTTTATTTTTGGTACTGGGGATTAAACCCAGAGCATTACCACTGAACTATATCTCTGGTCTCCCTAAGTTGATCAGGTTGGCCTTGAACTTTTGATGTTCTTGCTCAGCCTCGAATCACCAGGAAGGATAATATCCATTTTTTTTTTTCCAGTGCCAGAGATCAAATCCCATACGTGGAAGCAAGTACTCTACCATTGAGCTACATCTCCAGCCTGATATCCATATCTTAAGGAATTTTGATGTTTACAAAACTTTATAATTAGTTTCATTTTTTAGGAGAGAAAAAAAAGTCACAATTTCACTCCTGAAAGCTAACTGTCCCAGAAACATACAGCTTTTTTTTTTTTAATCTGTTTACCAAATAGTTTACTGTACTAGGAAGTAATATTCTTCTGTTTTTTTTCCTTCACTCCTGACCAATAAACTCA